TTCTAAAAACAAATACACTTATCTCCAATACTTTCAACTATCATTCAAAATAAGAGTTGTATAATTTGTTTGTAAGATGTGATAGAGAAAGAGTGTAACTTTGCTGCCATATGTTTTGTCTCATTTTTACCAAACAATTTGGACTCCAAAGCTAAGGGTTGCAATAAATACCTCACATTTCTGCAAAATACTGCAGAGAAGTATAAAAAAAAATGCTTGCAAGCAAGTTACAAGGTTTTATTTTATTGTTTTGCCTACTCAAGAATATTTTATCACAACAACTGTTCACATGCACAACAATGTAGAATGTGGGTGACAATGTTTTGCTATTTTGGTGCATCATGTAGATGACTGGTAGGATTTTTTACTGCTACCCAGGTATGTGTGGAGTGCAGCAGGAAAGCACCCAAAGCTTGAGAAAGTAGTTGGTGTTGGCGGATTTGGTTATCCATCTTTGGTAGCTCTTAAATGTGAAGAAAGCAGTCTACGCTCCTCTTCGTGGCGCTTTCGAGCAAGAGTCTGTTATGTAAGTACATACTTTCGAAGCTTGTATTGTCCTGTCAAAATTTTTTGAAATTTGATTCAAACGTATTGCTTACCTCAAGAGCCTACTTCAATCAAACTCTCTCTTAAAATTCATACTAAAGTGGGTAACATTTACTAATGGTTGCAGGGCAGATGTTCTACAGGTAGGTGTGCAGATTCGGTCCTCAATACAAAATCAATTAGTTAGCTTCTGTGTACCTCGATGGGCTGTATGTGCATTGAATGGTTCCTAATTTCTGTTGCCAAATATTATGGTTCGCCAAGGGAGCACCTTTGTACGCTCTTGCATCACACAACAATTGAAGACTTCGAACTCTGTAACAGATGAAGACTTCGAAGAGGATTGAAAATTTTCTCCTCCTACATGTGGGTTTTCACACAATTCTCACATCATGAATGTTGAGCTCTTTCTCGAGGAAGCTAAAGTGTAGCTTTGATGCCTCTCACTTCGTTAAAGCAATTGAATGTGAGAATTGCACATTCTATCCCAAATTTTGAACTTTCAAGCAATCGTTCCTTTACATCAAATCTATTAAACTAATTACAATTTGAGAAGATGGTCGGTTTGCTCATGACTTCCTGGGTTACGTGACAATCACGATAAGCGATATTTTGCTTGCTGATAAGCAGACTATCTTCGGACAAGGATATATTCTTCATGAGCAGAGTGAAATACCTAAATTCTCATCCACGAGAATCTTGAAGCACTTATCGACTTATTTTCTGGTCAAGGAATACATCCGTAGTTGAAGAATCATCATTGAGATGCTAACCAGCTGTTATCCTACAACTCAACAGTGTTTTTGCAATCGCAGTTGAAAATTGTTAGTCAGAATTACTTTACTGACATTTTCAAGTTGCCAAACAGGCAAAGTAATGGACTGTACTATTTGTATAGGCCAAGACTTCAAAAGATGGGTTCCTTGTTTGTTTGTGCATGCTGATGCTGCATTGTTGATCTCGTGTACAAGTTCCATGGCTTTGACCGACTTTTCAACACAAACAATCAGTCTAGTGGGTGTTCCGGGTTCTCGTAGTTAAAGAGTTCTTAAGTGAAATGTCAGTTGTACCCAAATAATTAGGCCTTTCTCTTGCTACCGGAGCTTGATTGTTGCATTAATAAGCAGAGACTGCTTGTTTGAGTTTACTTACGAATGTAAAAGATATCAATTAACTGTAAATTTTGGTAAGCAGGCCGCAAGTTATGGGTTTAGAACCCCATGGAGGAGCGTGGCTACGATGTGGGGGAAAGACTTGTTTATATTTAAGATGGTTCTGGTTTGACTGAATCTGTGACTGAATGCAAGGAGCTTGGCCAGGTGCAACTTGCTCAAACCATGATGATGACCGTTGAAAAGTTCAGAATAAAGTTTCAAATACTCCAGCGGTTATATTTACTGCCATTTTTAATAATTGAGAGCATAGTAGGGAAGATGCAACCACACCTACTCCAAAATTCATTGACTAGTGGGTTTTAGGAATTATTAATACTTCTTTATGGTCATTCATCTGATGGGTATTCGGAGTTTCACATGATTATTATCATTATACATATAATCATCAGATTCAAGATCCTGTGTGATTGTCATTGGTTACAGCTGAAGGATTGTTTTTGCATCAGAGATGTGCAAGTTTGTCAGGTCATAATGAGAGCAACAGAGTCAGTATTAGAGACTGAATGATATTTATCATTATCATACTTATGCTGTGATTTTTCTGTTCCACAATTCTCAAAATCAATAATTGGTGTATGGTGCCCGTAAACTTTGCAATGGTTCTGTAGATAGTTCCGAAGGTATATTGTGGGTGTGAGGTTGGCATATTGCAGTTCGTTTTTTTTTATGATGACGACAAGAATGTCACGGAATCCTTCGAAGATTTTCCTACGAGCCTTGGAAGAATGCTAGAAATGGCAACATTCAATGAGTTGTAACTTAGATGAAGGTTGCTACAAAACTGGTGAAATCAATGAAAGATCCCTGAGATACATACACACAGCGACTGGATGAGAGGTGTTTTTATTTAAGACGCCTGCGGTGCTAATCCCGATGTACTGTAGGTGTAGCTGTTTATAAACAGGTTCATCCTCTCAACTATGCCAATTGTTCCATGTTCAGTTTGGCAAGTTGCAGATGTGGTTTCCGTAAGTATAAGTAAAGCATCTCGAATATCAACATCAGAAAGGTATCAAAGCCCACTACATCTAGGTGCTTTCAATTTTTGCACATTGGCGGTACCATATCGTCCATTAACAGAGAGAAGCTGCAGATTGCAAGTACCGTGGAGACTGCAGTTTTCTGCTATCTGCCAATAATGAAAGGATTGATTGAGTACGTTGCTCGTGCTGGTGCCAAGGAAGCCCATGACGTAATCCGATAGGTAGGTGTAGAATATACCATCAACTTGTGTGTTATACTTGAGATGTATTTTTTGGTTGGTTATGGTTGATCTATCTCAGTAGGTGTCTGTCCGGGTCTTATTTTACCACAAACACTTCAGCCCTAGGACTTTATGTGAAGTTCACCTGTAGGTGTGGTACTTGAATAGTCCAGCGTTTGTGGTTTAGACGTCTCAGTTGCGAGCTGGTTGTTCTAGTTGGCTCCAATGCCATAAAATTACTCTAAAAGTCAGAATTCTTAGTTTTTCGTCTGCGTATGAATGAACCACTTCGCTCATGAGATGTCTTCTATGCAGTATTCTGCTTTATATTTGACCCTATTTGCTCCTTGAGCTTGAATTTGCTTTAATAGTGTTAGAAACTACTGATTTGTTTAGTTAACTATGCCAAACGCATGGGTAAATAAGTGACAAAAACAGCAAATAACCTGGTTTCCATGTCTGACAGCGGAGCCATCAAGCATCGAATTTAAATGAAATAAACCCTTTCAAAGCTCGTTTCTAGCACTACAACAAACTAGTACTTGACATGCCCACAGGTGGAAGTTCCGAAGACCTCGTCATTGTTCGGTAACCTCAAACCACCGACCGAGATGGCAAGAGTACCGACAAATGTCAACAGTGGCCGCCTTGTTGAAAATATAGCTACAAGAGAGCAGAGGTCCTGGAAGAAAAAGAACGGTTTTCCATGTAAAAACCTGCAGATTTTTATGTGATGGCACAGTTCCAGCTCTGACGAATTGGTGAATTCATCTGTAAGTTAGACACTGCACTGAGAACCATTTGGACCGCAAATCCTTGATCATCAAAACCATGGTCCATGTATGAGAAAGTCGGTGAGAAATTACAGAGGCCATGATGGAGATGTTTGCATGTGGAGTAGCTCCGCAAGTTTGCAGCACTTACGCTACTCCACTGCCGAAAATCTTTCCTGAAATCTGAACACTATGTCTGATCGATTCGTAGACGATTAGGGTGATGGAGAATGCACATGTCTGGAGATCCCGAGGACATTCTACAACTGGCACAAATCCCCAGCAGCGCTAAGGCTAGAGTGGGCTTTATCATTTCTGAACAGTCAACTGCAAAATCCTTGGAGATGCTCAACCCTCAACCTAAAACCCTAGCATTGAATGAGCAATCAAACTAGTGTCCCAAGAAACAAGGCATTCTTACGAGGGACATGATGAAGAGCCTCATAGTCATACATCAACAGATGTGCACCTGAAGGGAGTTTTACGAAGGGATTACAGAGGTATGTAAGTTGTGGCTCGAATTTTAAAGGAGTTCTTTCCGACGAGCATCCACTGCTCAAATGTGTCCCACCAGGCCTCCGCCATCTGCAACGTGCTAAATATCAATCTGCTAACAGCTATATCAACTGTTTCAACTTCCCATATGGAAAAGCGTCATCACTTTCAACACTTTCTGTTCCAAACGAACATTGTGAACGCATTAACATTCTCTGAATCAGCCATGCCTCCACTTGAAAAAAACCTCGGAATGGCAGTCGATCGACCAAACAATTACACTGAAGACTAGAAATGTGCTCAAAGCGCAGTTAGGGTCAAGGTGCAAAACGTTTCATGCTAGTTCGCTTGCTGCGTGGCATAAAGAAAGGTGATAGATACCTTTAGACGAGCGGCCAAATAGGCGTTTTGGAAAGCAATCGGTTATCATTACAGAGACCTGCTCCTTGTCCGCGTTGGTCCAGCGAAATGGGCCTGAACAATTGATTACTGAGACAATAAGATATTCTCGTACATCCTTGCGTACAATAGTTGCGGGTGAAACTCATTCACCAGCCACGCCGAGAAGGGACCAACCCGAGAAGGGACACGTCTAAGAACCACAATCCTTCACTAATCTATACAAATACCGATTATCTCATGCGGACATCATCTCCAGCAGTGAAAGCTCTGGCTTCACGGACAAAAGTCAACTTCTTGGTGAGCCTGCAAACCAACACATTTCAAACCTCCATAGGTTTGCTTCTATAATCAAACGTACACATTTGTGTGCGTAAGACACAGAGAGAAGTCAATAAATAATACACATAGGAAAAAAACCCGAAACATGTTACAAGACGGTGAATTGCATTGATGCCCACTCTCAGGGGGAAAAAGAATGATATTCCATCCAAGCCTCCATGCTGGCAACGAAAACAACAGCATGCTCAACCCTAACCAATAAATGGACCAAACTTCTACGTTGGTCACCACCAGAACCTAATTCAACTCACAACACTAATTTACAAGCATCAGGGCTGCAGCCGTAGCACAAGTCTCCTTGAGAATATAATGTACTGACATCCACTACTTCCATGCAGCGAGTTATTGTTGGATCATTATCAAAGAGCTGAGCACTATCAACATTGCGACGGGCTCTACCATTTTCTAGCAATATTCTATCATCCGCGCTTCAGCATGAAAAACGAAAGTGTAATCCTGTGAGTCCCCGTCTCACCTGCGCGATGTTCAATACTAGGGCAAAACCTTGAAAGCAGTGGCCGCGAAAGTTGCAAACTTCCTTGGTCGATCATCCATCGACGCAACGATAGGCTTCTTACGTCACATTGAAGTCTCTCTCAAGCATCGGTCGCGTCCTTGTCTGCGTCGCCACAGGGGCCCTACTGCTTCCGACAACCGTTGACTGCAATGTCTCTCCTTTCTCAGTCTGTGCCTGCATTTTCGCGATCTTACGTTTCCGGAGCTGCCGCCGACAGCAGAAAATAAATAGGGAGGAAAGTAGAATGAGACCCACCACTCCCAGTACTGTTCCAAGTATAATCTTCCATGTATTGGATTTCTTCCCGGGAGGAGCCAATCCAACTAATGCGAAGTAGTTGTCGCCGAGAGTTCTCGAAAAGCACGCATACGTTGGAGAGCTTGCATTAGTCGCGGTTGCGTCGGTAGCTAAAACAGTCCTATTTGAAGCATCAAACTCGACGCAGTAGGAGGGTTGGGAGTTGGGCGGGATGATCACCTGTACGGGGTTCTCGAGAGCAATAGCAGAAAGAGCAGGCAAAGGAGTCGTTGTCTCCAACAAGTCGCCATTGTACATCCTGATCCCAACCAACGAGCTGACAAACACCTGCCCCGGTACCGACGGAGAATACACGGAAACATTGCCGAAATCTCTGTAAACCAATATGACCCTTACAGAAGAGACGTTAGATATCCTCAAGCCCGGAGGTATTGTGAACTTCCCGAGCGTGACGCCATACCTCCGCAAACTGCCCACGCGCAGCCGAACAGCCTCCACAGTCACATTCGCCAAGTCCCCGAATAGATTAGCGGGGTAAGGGATCCCAGTGCCCGGACTCAAACTCGCAAACGCTGAATAAGCCGCGAGCTGAATAGTTTGGTCGTAAGAACTCAAGTCACCAGTCATCGTTGATGCAAAGGTCTGGTTTGCATATTGACCTGCTGCTTGAGCATCCACTCCCGATCCCAAGCCCAAAACTAATGCCACCACCACCACCAACAACCACAAGTGCGACGTTTCCTCCCTGGGATACCACCATCCTACTCTTCTCGCCATAACCCCTCCACCGTTCCTCATCTCTCGACGCTCCGCCTCCTCTTCCAATAACCTCACATTCCCGAGAAAACCACGCATGCGAGGAACCATCTCCTCTAACATAACCTAGGAAGGGCCAACACTCAACGCCTCACATGTCTGCACTGGCTGCCGAAAGGAAGACTTCCACAAAACGAGGAGGACTAAGACTGGTCAAGATGGGGCTCCTGGGCGTTTGAGTTCCGCACTAAACGGCTCTCGAGCACCTGGAGCAACCGTTGCAGGTTGCGAACCAGATCTGCGAGAGGGGCAAGCTTCGAACACCAAAAACAGGCAGTGAGGGGTGCGAGTGGTTTCTAGAGTCGATACAGCAAGCATCCTTCATTGCGACTCATCGCGTCGTCCTCAACTGCCGCCCGACGCTGCCATCCCCCCTCTGGCATCGCGCTGTTGGTGCATGTCCTCTAGTGCAGGTTGTCATCACTTTAGTCCGACACCACTTTAGTCCGACATCTACTCTGGCGTCCAGAATCCAGATAGGTCTGCAGGGTTATACCCAGTAACTCAATGAAATCTGCGCAGTAAATTATTTACCTTGCAACTATTGCCGTGGGAAAAACTGACTTTAACGCACAACTGGTCTGAGAGGGAAGTGTGAGGAATTAATGAACATACAGCTTGCAGTCAATCCAAACGCATCCAACTGAAATCTGACGAATTTTAGCATCAATACTCATTACGATACCCTCTTCAACAGCAACAGAGTCCTGCGTAAGTAGGACGAGACTGACAACCATTCTTCCCGTTGGCTTCTCTGACAACTATGGAATTGAGACCTATCTGTGTGAAGGCAACGGTGCAGAGAGCAACAGTAGAGCACCATAGGGACGGAGAAAGAAACATTTTCATGTACACATTGCATTACTCTCTGCAGTGGAACGGAGGTATGATTGCTCTAGAACTTGGGGAATGGATGCCAGCATCGAGTGCAGTAACTGCCTTCATAGTGAATCAGTTGAAAAGAAATTCCTGATGAAAAGAATAGTATAAATACGTTTTGTTATGTTATTAAGAAATGAATATATATCTCCAGAGGATCACATGGGTGTAAATCATTAAGCCTGCACTTTGAGAGAAGAAAGCGTGTGCAGTGAACTTGTAACATTCAGCCATTCTCAGCTTTATCATAAGCATTGGACTTGTGTTCAGGGGAAAACACTAATCCTGAAGGATGTGGGCCCAGGACCATTTGTGTCGATCGAACCTGCCAAGAAATACGTGTAACTAATTTATTAATACTGCAGTCTTGTCTACTTTGAAACTTACTAGCGGCCTAATGATTGTTACAACAAGGATTGTTCTCGCCCACGCATCATGGCGCCAAATTAGTCTTCACAACCAGCCTACTTTTAAGCAATTACGTGTTTGAATACAACGGGTAACTTTTCGAATTGAGGAAAAACTCACACACTGCCTTCCACTGTCTGATTACATTAGAGTTTCCGGGTGATTGCACCCGATATAGTTTAGTAGAAGCAGATTCAGCTCGACGCTAATAATCAAGTAAACCACAAAGAATATGACGATATGCACAATTTTAGGCATTCCAAATGAAAATGTCTTCTGTCTTCACACCTGTTAATCCAACCCAATCAAGTTAAATTCTTTGGAAGCTTTTTCAATGTTTCTTACATGTAGATTTTAATCCATTACACACATCATGCACATTCAGTGGCCACGATTGGAGTTGACATGCAAAATTCTCCATGAATACATCGCCCGTTAACAAAAATGTTAAACTGTCAAGCACCATCTTGGCGCAGCAAAGTTCGTAATTCCTAGTCTAATTGGGTGGGCTTTGATTGATAGTGATGCAAACACCATGGACATGTCTGACCGAGCAAGAATAGATTGTTGCTAAACTATCAAAACCCCAATATGTGACGTTAAATGTTCAGCCATACATTGGCGAGATGAGAAATGCAAACTCAAAATAACACGAAGTCAAGAGGTCACCTCAAAAAATTACCATGATAACGACTGCAAAGAACCCGTGAATGCACTGTGAGGGCACGAAATCCATCTATCGTTTAAATTGACACACAATGCGAGTCTAAATACGCTGGAAAAGACCATGTGTTCCTTTTAAAACAATCTTCAGAATTTTAGTGCTCATCATCTTAATGAGGACATGGCAATCACACTGCTCTCAAACAAGACGGGCGATCTTGAAAGCTATCCCATCTGGCAAATAAATATTTGCATCATCAAAGTTAGAAACAATTCTTACTTTGATATCTTGAGAAGCAACAGCTCCTCAAACAGTAGGCTTGGTTAATTGATCTTGATGCTGTTTTCAAAATTTGTCACCAGTTGGGACTTGGTCAGCAGAGAAGAGCCCCAACTCTCGTTCACCACAACGTCAATGGGGCATCCAATGTACAGATTATCGAAATCAACAGAACATTCTCGCTCTATCGGCTCAGCAGCCAGAGCTAAAGTACCAGCATTTGAACCACAAATCTGGACTCGAAAAATGCCTTCCTCCTCAGGTCGCCTCTGAATTTCGCGGATACCCAAGTGAAGAAGTGTTAATTACATAAAACTGAAGAAAAACAAGCGATAATTTTGCTGTTCAACTGGGACGACATACACCTCCGCTTTACTTCTAGAAAACAAGACTATCCCAAGCTAATGCACTGATTGTAAACAACAATATTTGGCAGGATGTAGCTATATGCTCAAGGACATGAAGTGTAAACAGAAAAGAGATGAGTGGGAGTAGACCCAATCAATACTTGAGAACGTTGCACAACTGAAACAAACTAACTAATCTGAAGCAAATTCGCCCACATAGATATTTCTCCACATGTGATACCATATCCAGTTTCTCCCAAACTCGTTGAAGTGGTAGGTTCCCGACCATTGTTACAATAACCGAATAGAGCTTTCTTCCAAAGTCATCCAATCTCTTACCTCAAAGCGGTTCCTTCACCTCATCATTGATTTATTTTAAATTGTCCTGGAGTGCTCTACGGTGGCTTAGCCCATTACTAGCCTCAGATGCATTAGCCGGAGCTTAAAGCATAATCTCCCTTTCACGTCATCTCTATTCTCCACACCAAACAGCTTTGCAACCAACTTCCCGGCTTAGCCTGCGAAAAATTCAGCAGATCTTCAGAATTCACAGAGCTCATGTAGGTAAGGAAACCTGGTCACTGCATAAACTTGAAAAACTAAGCAAGCTAACTACTGCTTGTGTGGAGCACGCATGTGGAAGCAGAGCGATTGTTCAACATCACCAACAAATCTATATTCTAAAGGACGACATTGTAGTGGGGTCCTGTGATAGAACAATGGCAGGATACTTTAGAAGTGAAAATGCATACTGTGTAGGTCGGCCAAAGACAAACCAATGCAACATCAAATCAATTGATAATGTCATATCCATGTCAATGGGATTTAAAAGATCAAATCGATCGTGTGGCACAACATAACTGCAGTATAACAACAGTTACAAACTCCCAGACATAAAAATAGTCCCAGCTAATATTACTACCAGAAAGGTAGAACACCTTAACGCTTCAAAGAAATTCTTTGAGTATCTTCAAGAAAAAGGGATTGAAAATTATGACCTTGACTAAATAATGTTCTAAGTCAAGCAACCGCTTCAAATCAATTAACTTCATGGACGAGTACAGCAGCAGCATGTCTGAAATACAAGGACTACAAAATTAATACATTTAAAAGCGCACCAGAAGTTTTAGTAGTTGCAATTGAGCATCAGCTTTTGCAAATGTCACCAAATTTTTCTGTTCAAACTGCTAAACCCTCGGATGCTGGAGAAAGGATTTTGGCCACTCGGAAATTCATATGTGCAACGCGAACCAATTACTCAAGTAGGTACCACCATCCGCACATCCTAATCCCTGACATGCAACCTAACAATGTCCAAAATACCGCTCAAGCAATCAGATAATAAAATGCTGATGCGAACCTCCTTCCGTTCACATCTAAGTTGGTGTTTAGCTTTCCTGTTGACTGAAGTTACTGCAGCGACAGGATTACTAATCTCAGGAGTGCTGAAGGCACCTTCTATTGGTGCGTTATTTTCGCCATGATCAGTAAGAACTATTGACTTAGCCAAAAACAGAAGGGGAGTGTCTAAAATTACACTCAAGTTTGAATAGTACCCGCGCTTTGACAATGAGTTCCTAGGCGAACGAACAGTTGTCATTATTTATCACTGGAGCTGACCATTAACACCAATCACATAACCGACTCAGCCAAGGATATGCACTTCACGCACATCCATCGAACACGAAGAACCACAAATTCAGTCAGACGATTCAAATATGACGTATAAGTTGCGTGTAACCTACCTTTCTGACAACATAACAAACCAGATCAAAAATTACAGCCGACAGGATTTGACAAACACACAATCCGAAAAAAAAATCGCACAGAGCAAATGAAAACCCGAAACATCTCACAAAATCTCATGTTGCAGCAGTAAGACGACATACACACCTCTACAGATCCTGCATTGTCTAATTCCATAAAAAAATCGCCAGGTCCCGGTGAAGCGGGAGAGGGAGAGAGATCATGAGGCGCTTCTTCATCAGGGCACCCGAGCCCACCCTCCCCTGCGGCGCTCCAGCAGAGGCCGTCTCCATCCTCCTCCTCCGTCACCGCAGCAGCAGCAGCAAACCTTAAACCTGATTTATGCACAAAACACACACACTGCAACGACATCTCGGCGTCATCGCCTTCAAAACACGATCCTAAGTGACTACACAACAGCAAAAATAAATAAGTAAATAACTAAAAAATAACTGAAAAAACTAATAACAAAACTAAACTATAAAAAACTAAAACTATATATATATATATATATATATATATAATATAAACTAAAAATAGAAAACAAACAAACAAGCTGCAAAACGAGGCGGCAACTGATGCTGTGAAAACCCCTTCCCTTCATTTATGGATGAATGAATATATGGCTGTGTAGATGAATTGTTGTTTTGTGGATGGATGAAAATATGCATGAATGATGGAATTGGATTCCACCGTTTATCATTCATCCTCAAGGCAGAGTCGTCTGTTTGAACCCGTTCGTTTAAGGCTGAGTCAGATTGTGATGACTGAGGAGGTCTTTATCTTGAGAGAGGAAAAAAGTTAAAAGGTGGGACTTTTTTATTTATCAAAAAGTAGAGTGAATAGTGTTTGTTGTCTACAAAATATTTGTGTTGGCTTATCTTATCATATCAGGTAGCTTTTACAAAAAAATTGAAAAGTCATGTCAGAAATTACTAAAGCAATTCCTATATTTTAAGAAATATTGTTACTGTTATTATTTTAATATCTAAGCAATCAAAAACAATAAAATAATTTATTTTTGTTAAAGCAATTGTTAACAATTCACAATAAAATACCCCTAAATGTTCTAAATGTACTATATTATTTACTGATTGATGATAATGCAAATCATTTACAATCATTGCTTTATTTAGTATATTTAAAAGCATAGTACAAAGCATGTTAATAGAAGAACAAAATAAAAATAAAAAGGCAACTATATCGTTCAATTGGGATGAGTTTTTTCTGAATTATTCATAATACCATGTTGCATGAACCTGAACACAATGTATCTTTAAAAATTCGTCCTTCATTTAGCAGTCATTTCTTGTGTTGTAATCAACCATTAGAAAGAAATGCACAATGCTTATCCATATTTAATGTATATATACCTTCATCAAAATTTATATCGGCATGTACACCAATAAGGTGTCCAACATTTTTAGATAGAACAATGTCTTACTTTAGCATAGTTGTCACAATAAGATTAGGGTTTTATTTATTATTAATCAATTTTTGTATTAATTAAGAAATTTATTATTTTTTATTTTAAATTTTATAATTAATATAAATTTATGAATCAAATTCTTTTTTAGATTTCCTTCTACTTGATCTTCTAAATTAAGATTAATTCATTAAAAATATTAGAATAAAACATGTTTCTAGTATATATATATATATATATATATCAATATATATATCTATATATATATATACATACATATACAACATTTTAAGTAGGCTGATTTAGTGGCAAGTCTAAAATATTGTTACAAAAAAGTAATTCAAACCGTAGAGAAATTACCAAATCTAATAGGTTCTTCAAAAAAAAATTACAATATATAAACCATTCAATATATATATATATATATATATATATATATATTGTAAATACCTAATAAAAATTTCTAGTAAATAGACTAGGCAATAAGTTCTAATAGAAAGCTTTTCCTAAAAACTTAAAGAAAAATTTTATAGTAACCTTAAAAAAGGCTAATATGTTTTAAATTAGTAAAACATGAGGCTAAGATCATTTTTCAATCTTGTAAATTTCCTTCCTAAATCCTGTGTATGATATGGCTTGTGAATTGTTTTGTATCTTAATATGATTTCCTTTGCTTTTCATTTATTTATTTGTTTGCTATTTAGTTATATTCTAATACAATTTATTCCTATAATCACTTTTTGATCTTTTTGTACAAAGTTGTATCCCTTCCAAAGTTGTGTTTGACTTTGAATCCACATGATTCTTATATAACATAGTTTTATGACTTCCATGCACAAGTGGGCTTCCTATAATCTTAAGCCACTACCATGCACCAGCCACAAAAAGAACTCTATAATTTAATGAATTATGAAGAGTAAACAAATCCACATACAAGTCCTGGTTTCTATCATTTGACTTAATGCCACCATCACTTATTCCATATGATTCATTTAATGCACACTTTATTAAAAAATTAAAAATTAAAAAATTATAACTGTAATAATACCACCTTATTATTCATTTAAAATAATAATCATAATGAAAACATATCTTATTATGATTGACATACACACTATGTATATTTCTCATTCTTTATTTTACTTTTTTTCTTTGTTGTAACCATGGTTTATTACGAACAAATATATACATATATATATATATATATATATTCCTCCATCTGTATAGTGTGTTCTTGGACAAGCTTTCTCTTAACCACATGTTTTCAGCTAGATTCCACATGTCTTTGAAAAAAGTTAAGTTGTCAATTGTTGTGAATTCAACAGACAAGATTTGCAACAAATACTTATCCAAAAAAAGGAAAAAAAAGGAAAAATTGTTTTACCACAACAGTACTGAGAACAGACACCCACCTGATTGGTAGCAAGCACCCTTAGAGACCTTAATTAAACCCAATTACCCCCCCCCCCTTCTTCTGTTTTTATTTATTTATTTATTTATTTTTTTGTGTGTGTGTGTGTATGTTTCACAACAGTTGATTGTGATGAGAATGGACTCTGACGAAGAATAATAAGCTGGCATCCGACACACACACAGAGTACAGCAATCCTGTCCAATCTCTCGTATTGTCAGATTGAATTAGAGGGTTTTTCCGTGTTAGAATAGCATCCTGCAATGAGTGTTCGTAGAGAGGTGAAAGTGTTGATTAGAATGTTGTTTGTGATTGTCAGGCATTGTTTGTCAGGGGGGGGAGTGGTGGAGCAGGGACCTAACTTAGTCCAAGAGATGTAGTCTTGTGCGTGAATCCAGTGTTTTGACAGTTGGGTCTGTAGCGTTTGCATCACTGTGACTTGAAGGCGGGGAGCTTTGGTGTGGATTGGATAGGACAGGCTCATGAGGTGGATCACGGAAGTACTTCTCTGTGACCAGCACACGGCATACACGGAGTGAAGGTGATGCTTTTCTGCGGTTTTGTCGTGGGTTCGTTCACTTGTTGTACTTCGTTTTCACACAAGAATATGTACCCACACCAATGTGGATCCTGTAAGAATGTAATGCTGAACAGATCTCAAGTTGGATGTGCTGTTGCAATTGTATCTCTGCTTAAGTGCGGGTGTAAGTAGAGACAAGCGATGCTAGAAACCTACCAACAGTGGAGTAGAAAAAAACAGAGGTCGACAGGCGATTCAGCATCCTCTTGGATTTAAATTTGGTGGCCTCAACATTCTAAATTGGATTCAAAACAATGCCAAACTCAGTAAGATGGTTGGCGAAACCCAGGAACAAAGTCACAGTCGTCGACATTTCAAAGTTTCCTTACACAAGCACGACTCACTTGAACATCAACCAACGTTGAAGATCGCAAGCACTAAACTTCCGTAAACAGGAACTGATGTTATCCTCTCGAGGAGGATGGCCATGTTAATCATTCGCCATAAATGCTTCACCAGATGAAATAAAGAAAATCATGTGGGACTTGATTGCATAGATGATAAATGATGCAGCTTATGCATGACGCCTTTCGAAGTCTGGAAAGATATCACAAACCCTATGTAACCTTCAACATGTATGCCAATTCCGTGACTGCGCACTTGGTGTGAAGCCATCTTGCATCTGCATCTGCGTCTGATTGCACCCCTGGCATTCGCGAAATTTAAATCAATCTTCCATTGTAAGGTAGCGACAAAACCTGCAAGCTGTCTTCTAATACACTGTTGTCAAGATTAGAACGAAATACCTAGCTCTGACGGTGACAGATTGCATCGGCCATTAAATTTTTTAAATAACATGATATTGGAATCGAAAGATGAAATAATCACCTACATATGGTTGATGCACATGCTGATTCGTTTAAGATTGATGTGAATAATAAAGAAGGTAATGTCCTATTCATCTGCTCTACAGTAGTTTGCAGGAGAGCACTTCCATAAGGTGAAGGGACATATTTCAGACGGACAACCCTCTCTGCGTATTTTCGAGAAGGAATAAATCACCTGGCAAAATTGAAAAATCCCTCTATTTGAACATTCGTGCGTAGGACTTTTTTTCCCTCTCATTCCTCTCGTTGATCTGAAAGCCGCAAAGCATGTTAGCGAGAAAAAAAATTTACACGGCATACGAACATCCTAACCATGCATAGAGGAAAATCCTTCACGTTTTAGTACCAAACTGCCCGGATCACGGGACGCCATTGTCCATAAATAAAACATTAGACTGAACTTAAATTGCTCAATACCAGAGTTGGTAGAGAAATAAAGATAACCTACCTTTTTCCGAACAGTTAGAAGCTCTCTTCTAATCCCAGCTGTACAGATAAACATTACAGATAGTCAGCAAGTAACAGAAGAGATTGGACGCCTAAATTCGTATTGAATCCTAATAGTTTCCAAATCGACAAACTGCGGATATTTTGAAGGACACTTCCTAATTCTACGCACACCTGAGAAATTTCCAAACCTACAATATGGCGATCTAAAATGTAAGAACGGCCAGTGGCATCCGCAACTGATTGTTCCAGATGCCTTCTACAAAAATAAGTTCGTATAAACAGCATTAATTTAAATAAGAAGAAGAAGGAAAAAAGAAAAAAAAAAAAAAAAAAAAAAAAAAAGGCAATGAAATCTAGAAGATACCAATTCACTCACCATCATTCGGTTCAATGTTAGAGGCCTTAGTCAAGCTCAGCAATGCTGAATCGATATCGCCCATCGCTAAATGAGCCTGGCCTTGACGGAAAAGTGCTTTAACATTGTCAACTCCGGTTTGCATAGCATATTCACAATCGGTCAAGGCGCCTTGGGGATCTTGAAGTTTCAACTTGCAAGCCTGCCAGAAAAGGCAGATTTTACAACATAAAACCACATAAGACAAGCAAAACTCGATAATGTAAAATGTAGATACTACACCTTGACAACTAAGTGTTTACAGTTCTAATTGACTACTCCTGAAGAAACAGAAATATTCAAATACCAGAACGAATTATTTGAGAGGAGTCTTGAGAAATTAACTCACAGCACTATTGGTCAATATAAGTGATTTCATCTTGCGCAGTGAATTGCTTCTTGCTGTAAACCAACGTGTAACAACACTATGTAAGAAAACAATTAAAACAAATCACCTAGTGAATAAGGAATCCTTCAAACGATACTTTAAAAATGCCATCCATAAAAAGTACGCCTAAAAAACTTACTTTCATCAAGCTCCTCTTTCTCCCAACATACATCTAGATATCGTAACGCCTTACGATACTTTCTTAGAGCAGTCTTGTAATCTCCTTTCTGCTTCGAAAATACAAGGAAGGTTACCAATGGATCTATAAACCCCACGAAACTTCAAAGAGGCATTAGCCAATAATTTTTGAGGGTTAATGAAACTGCTTATCACCTTAAAAAACTCATTCCCAAAAGCACGGGCTGAACCAACAGCTGTTTCCCACCAGGCTGCATCAGCTGGCTGCGTATCCAAATCGGAAGGCCAATCAGGATATGTGTCTCCGTCTTGTGCAAATCCTGAAAATTTCATTATCCATCACTATAACGTTCCGTATAGCTCACTAGTCCTTGATATCGCAAAACACTCCTCTCCTCTTAAGAAAGCAGGAGATGCAGCCACGGCATTTAAATATGGGTCCCACCGCCCAAAAAACACACACGAGGTTTACCATCACAACCACCGAGTTCTAACAAAAAGTGGTAAAATGAGAAGACAAATAAGTAGGATGAAGAGCATTAAAGAGTCCCAAGCTCATACCCACGACGCCATCGTCTGCACCTTCCAACAGTTCACCGCAGTCCACAATGCGCACCTCGTTTAAGGGTAAATTGGTGGCACTGTCGGTTGGCTGGTGCTCAATGGAGCGCACGATTCCCATGCCCTTCAAAATTCTTCCGAACACGACATGCTTTCCGTCGAGATGTGGAGTTCGATTAGTAATAATAAAAAACTGGGATCCATTGGTGTTTGGACCAGCATTCGCCATAGACAGCATACCCTTCCGTTCATGCTTCATTTGAAAGTTTTCATCATCAAAAGTCTTGCCGTATATAGACTCGCCACCAGTTCCATTTGCATTCTCAAAATCTCCCCCTTGGATCATGAAGCCTTTTATTACCCTATGAAAAACGGCGCCCTGTTGATAGAAGAGCATCCACGGCAAATTACACTATCAGAAGTTGATCAATTAGCAGTAAGGAGCAACCAAGCTATGCACCCACAGTGGATCACAAATTTATGCAGACTGCGACAGAAGAAGACTTCAACTAGCCACGACCGCATGTTCTCCACATCTTAACTACACAAACGCTACCAGGGCAGTGTCTACGAATCGTTACATTCTTAGAGGAGTGTCCTCTCAAGACGTAGTAGCGTGAAAAAAGAGACTTACGAATACGACAATATAACACCTACAAATTGCAACTATCCTCCTAGCGGAGACAGCAGCTTTGCCTTCCGTTAGAGCACGACTGGTGGGGCATGAAGAGAGGCATAGAATTGTAGATGGTTGCAATAGTTACTTAGATGGTATCTCCCGCTCCCTCGCAAGTAAGCTGTGTAATTAATTTGTGTATTCTGTTCCAAATGAGATGAGGTCCCTAAACTTTACAAAGACGATTTACGACGGCAATCTGGCCAGGAAGACCATCCTACAGCAATAAGCGCTTTCTACCAAAATCTTTTTGGACAAATTCACCACGACGTCCCATCAACACCATCGTCTTCTCAAAATGTTCGTGTCTTACGGAATCCACACTACCCACTAGATTCACGGCACGAAGCACGATAATAAACTGTAATCCGATGAGCATTTTGACGTAGGACGACCTATGAAAACTGCCGACATGAGATCCATACGTGTCGTGAATGAAAGAGGAGCTGAATAGATGCCATACTTTGTAATGCAAGGGGCGCCCAGAGATTTTCCCGATGCCTTTCTCTCCCGTGCACAGGGCGCGAAAATTCTCAGCAGTTTTCGGTACAACATCCGCGAAAAGCTCGAATACGATCCGACCTTCCATATCGCCGCCAATACTGATATCAAAAAACACCTTCGGGTTCCTGGACTCCATGGCTGCGGTCTCCGCGCTCATGCTTGTGGACGGAAAGGGATCACGTTGTACGATGCTTAACAAACTCCTTCACCCAGTCAACTGCACTCCACACTACTTCCTGCACCCGCAACTAACCAAGAGCACCTTGAAGCAACGAGCCGCTGCAACCCGCAACACACTGCGCTGTTTCTTCTCCCTCAAAGGATTCCCTCGCACACTCAAATTCCAAAAACCATAATCCAAAAAACCGAAACACCAAAAACAAAAATTACAAATAAATAAATAAATAAATAAATAACGCACTACCAACTTCCACGCTCCCACGAAACTCTAAACTAACCGACGAGCTAGGGTTCCAGATTCTAACCAACTGGAAAGGCCGATCAACAAAACCCACAGATATATGAAATTCAACTCTAGGCTACACACACCACATCAGTTGCAGCAGCGCTCACCACTACAAAAACTTACTGAAAAAAACGAACTATCCAGATCACCTTCTAACAAACCAAAACTTCGAAGCAGCAGCAAAGACACGATGAGAGTGAATCTGAGCGGATTCCTGCTCTTCCTCCTCCTCCTCGATTACGTGCGTACTTTGCACATCCCCCGAAAATTCGCAGCAAAAATTATAACCGCCGCCAGGTATTGTGGCATCCTATCAATACCAACCTCGCCTTGGGGCCAGCCAGCCAGCACGCTAACGGAATGGAACCCTCTCGACGAATCCCGCCCCCTTTCCCTGCGGCTCCGAGAATCTTCGAACCCGACAGATCGATGATGATACGAATAGAATAGCCTGTACTACGCCGAAATACGAAAATATAAAAATTACAAAATAGCGACAAACAAACACGACAAAAAGCAACACACGCCTCCGAAATTCCTATTAAAAATGCTAGTCGATGGTGATCCCTCCTATAGGTTCAGTTTCCACCTAAAACTGTCGTCGTGATGAGCGTTATCTGCCCCGAGGCCTGTCCAGAGGAATACCCGTTCCGCCACGGAATTGGGTGCTGGGTGGGGGGGGGGGACGTGCTGGGTTGTAGGAGAGCGTGGTCGGTATCGATGGAAATCGGCAGCGCGGAGCCCGAGAAACTAATTGACATGTGTCCTTGAACGTAGGGGAACGGATGGGGAGCTTTCTAGCTTTGCATGCCAATGGAATTCCGATTCCGGCATTATTAATGGAATTATTAGTGTGCTGCTGCTATTCATTGCTTGCCTTAGTTAATTCATCCCCCCTCCCTCTCCCCGCCGATTTTTCATCTTTCATTCACCCATCTCTTAAACAGCTTGCTTTTCAAATTAGGGCATAGTCAGCAACCTCTGGAACAGCCCCATTCCGACTTAGAACTGTACTTGCAAGCTTGCTTGCATGCATGCATTCCGCTGGTTCAACAATTGGCGCACCTGATCTTAATTCACTTGCAGTAACACGGTATCAAATTATTCTCTTCCTCTTCAAAAACGAGGATTTTACAATTAAAATCTGATCTGAAACAACAGTACTGCAGTGATTAAGATGTTGGGCACAGATAAAAGACGAAGAAGAAGAAGAAGAAGGAAAAAAAAAAAAAAAAAAAAAAAAAATAGTTGGGTATGAGAAGTAACAAATCAGAGAGTAATACAGCTATTGTTCAAAGTGGGGTATCGATCTAGTAACAACTACTAGTGGTAACAGCCCCGGAAACTCAGTTTGTAGGGCACCCACATCAATTTTCGTGCAAAAAAGAGAATTAGGTCAACAAGGGTGGGGTTCAGTGGGGGAGTGAGCGAGGCCATGGACACCTTTCATTAGAACGGTGGACGACGTCATCAACAATGGAGATTAGCCCATTATCTCTGACACGCAAGCTCCCTTTTACTGCGATATCCACCGGAAAACAGCCATTCGAGATCGTAATCCGGGGTGGTGAACGCGTGGAACAGGCACAGTTGGTACTCACCTCACTTCCTAAGTATAGCCAGGGATAGATCCATATGGTAGAATCCTTTTTTGTATTTGAACTTGTATAAGCGGGTGTCATCGATCCCTCATATTGAATGCTGTATATTCTATTATTGGGCTTTCCGGTAAATTGTTATTCTGAATGATGTGGATTGTGCTTTACATGTGGACTTGTTGGCCTGGATGCCATATCTCTCCTTCATAACAGTTGGCACACTTGCTTTGGCTCTATGGCATACATTGTAGGATTGTAGTGAGCCTGGAAACCTCTGAATCTAATAGGCATATGGACATACACACACTTGTTGGTTCTTATTAAATGCTGGTCCCAAAGATTATGCAGAAAATCAACTTGTGGTTATAGCCAGCTTACTTTCACATTTCATGCCCCACTCTCTTAAAAGTTTAACAATATTTATGAAGATATTAATGTCACCTAATGTTTTTGAATAGATGTGTCAGAACCAAGATGGAAAATTAATTTTGAGTTTGCAAAAATAGGTTTACACTGTGAATTATGATGAATTTGTTGTATTACTACACAGACAATGCAGAGCTCTAAATTTCTTCCTTGCATAGCTTCAATTTAGAACATGCTTTCATGTTGAGGAAGGGAGGGATCTGAGAATCCACTTGCTAAACATACACACAAAATTGTTACATTTATGTCTATAAATTCAGGCTAAAATCCTTTTGAAACCTTGCGGTCTGGAAACATTGGGTGGAAACAAAAGGTTTGTCAGCTACTATACAGGAACCACCTCTGGCAAAAAAAAGGAGTCTCATGCTACATAAATTGCATAAAAAGTGAACAGGCAAAACCCTTGCCTTTCATACCAACTTGATTAACAACTGTCTCTTTATACCCCACCCCCAGTAAAAAGCAGCTGAATTAACAACATGTGGATTTGTATACACAACAGACCCAGTGGGTGCAAGTCTTTTCCTGGCTCAATCCAATGCATAACAGCATCTCTTCTCAACAAACCACCAATTTGTAGATACTAATCTCAATTTTTTTTTTAGATTGTAACTTCTCAAAGTTCACAAATAAATGCGCCTCTGTTGGAGGATATTGGAATGGATATTTAAAATCATGGTTTAATTGGAAATGTTGAAAATGTGACTTGGAATGAGAAATTTCTTTGAAAACAAAAAATGAATTTGACAATTGCAGGAGGATTTCAAGTGATTGTGGCAAAATTAAACATTCACAATGCACCTTTCTGCACAATTCATATTTAGGTGGTTATTAAAAATTGATGAGTTTGTGTCTTGCATGGTGTAAGCCTGAAACTGTATTATATTGTTATTTTTATTTTTGAAGTATATACATGTATATGAATACATATATATATATATATATACATGAAATTCATTGCTGTATGTAGACTTGGGATGTGATGTTCTAGTGTACATACTAATGTATAGGCATCAGTTCAGATGTTTACAATTTACATGCAATTGCATGTGTACATACTTAACTTGCATTGCTAAGCTATTAAGCTGCATTACTTAGTTTGCAAAAGTGTGTTTTAATAACCCATTATGAATATACCAAACCTGAGTTCACACATCAAGTTGAGCCATGTGATGAAGGTACCAAGTTATTTAATTTTGGGGGAAGAGTTGTATTATTGGGCTCTGGTCCAGGTACAGGGTTAGTTGCAGTTCCCTAGTGGAGATGCTGTGAGATAGACCTAATTGCTTTGGCTACCCCCATTCTGCTCAGCTGGCAGTCCCATGGAATGGGTGGGAGAGAGAGAGCATAGCCAGTGACCACACAGCAGTAGTGTTGAGACCACCCAAAGGGAGCATTAATTGAATGAAAAGTGTACCATAATTTTGCCATCAAAAGTGTGTGATTAGGCAGCATTATCTCTCAGTTTTACTAAATTCTGAAAGGCTGCTCTCACAGCTTGATGGTTCAGATCAGTTGGCAGCTATTTTCAACAACATTATATTTGTCTCATGCAGCTGGATCAATTTTCATAAGACCCAGTTTGGAACGTTTACAGGAACTCATCTACTGTGAAGTAATGACTGGAAGAAGGGAAAACAAATTTTGAACTTCATTACACATGACAATGTCATGCACCTAGCTCATTACATGTTATGTGTATGGTTGTCTTACACATCTGAGGCTGACATTTGAATCTCTAATCTTACAAATATTAAAATTCTGCACAAGTCATTCACTGGGTAATTTATTTACCTGGCAGAGCACATGAAGTAATCTCATCATGGTTACATGGTGTGTGCCATTATCAGCCATGAAGCTAAAACAAACTGCCTCATGCAATTAAAAATAAATAAAAACCAAACCAAACCAAAAGCAAATCACTTCATTTTACTCTGTGGTGGCATTTTCCATGCTCAGAGCTTGTGGTACTTGAAACCCTGGCCCTCAAAGATGGGTGGTGTGATGTGTGTAGAAGTGTTTTGTGTAGCCCTTGCAGGGTGATTTGTAGATTTAAAATCTGAACAATTTTAGAAGAGGCGGGAATAGAAACTGAGGATAAATAGGATGGAAGTGGAATGTAAAGTTACACTCAATTGAGGAGGGGGAGGAGATAGTCTCCTTGTCCCAGTAAGGCCTTGACATATTTGTTATATGGAAGTCTGCACAAGTTGATTATGCTGATTAGAATTAAAAATATGGTGTTTATTGCACCACTGCACACACACAGCAGTGCCAAAGTGTGTACAAGAATCTTCATTTTTTTTCAGTGGGTGGTGATGGATAATAAAAGGAAGCTAATTAACTAATCCACATTATCCACCTATCCATGATGAAAGGATGGAATTCTGAAGGTGAGGTGGGGGGGGGGGGGGGGGGAGAGGGCCATGATTTGGGAGGCCTACAAGTTGCAATGAGATGGGGTGTCATGAGATCCTGATGTTGCATTGATGAGAGTGGTGTGAGCATTGTGGGACCTGCGTGCCTGCCTGCCTGGGTCTCTCACTCTCTCATTCTCTCTACACTACTGACTGTGGCTGGCTCCTCATGATGGAGGCAAGCATGCTTAACAGGCAAGTGCAGGATCCTGCTTGCGATGCTACCCAATTGACACCATTCAAGTCCCTACTCTGGGAATGACATTGTTGCCATTCACTGCAACAGTCCCTCCTCCTCTCTATCATTCATGACTGTGAGAGGGCCATTGCCTTTCAATCAATCACCAGGCATGCTCTTCTCTCATCTTCCTCTGTGTGCTCACCTTCCCCTTGCAATAGTCACAACATGCTTGCATCATGGAAAAGAGGAACACATGTTTCAGTGCATCACCAGGCATGCACTTCCCTCCACTGATCCAACCCTAATCCCAAGGTAATGTTGTACCATGCATGATGGAAAGTTAGAACAAATACCGAAAGTCTTTACAGATAAATTCCTTGATTTGCTCTTTGTTGAACATCCTGTCCTGTAGTGAGGAGGAGGAGCTCTTACTTGCAAAGGATGATAACCTTCTGCCAAGTCCCCATCCTATAAAATTCCTCAGTTTCATTCTTCTAACTCATAGAACACATCCCCTTCCTTTCTGTCAAAACCAATTTGAAGTGCTAAGATTATTCTAATGCAGCAAAGCTGGGCTATAAATGGTGGTACTGTGGGAGATTTTGCTCTTGAGTTATAGAAAACCTCACTTTTAAAAAAAACTATGATTCTAAAACCAATAAAGGATAAGTATCTAAGTGAATTCTAGAATTATTAATATTCAATAGCAATTGAAACAATAATGTATGTTGGCAGAGGTGTTGAAAGCACTTTTTACTGTGTGGCAATAAGTCCACCTTTGCTGTGTCATTCCCATCTTCTAACTTACAAGGTACATCAGCCATGAGGAGCGTGGGAAATCTTTTTCTGTATTTACTAGGTATTCCAGTATTCTCTTTTGGGTGGATTTAAAAAAAAAAGAAAAAAAAAA